ATTGCCTTCTTTCATATCCATCACGACACCAATAGTACGTAAAAACGGTCTACCAAGAATAATTGGACAAGACGGATTGCAATCAATATCTAGAACAATAAAATCTATGGGCACATAATTCCTATTTGAAAGGATAAGAACATCATTAATTCTCTCCATGGGTTTTTTAATAGTAGAATCCGCCAAGTGCAAATTTAGAGAACACTCTTCAATATCGGTAAAACCAAGCACATCACATAAAGATTTCGGAACTGTCGAAACACTAGCACCCAAGTCACATAAATCAAAACACTCATATTTTTTTATTTTGACTTTTATGGTAGGTTCCCATTCATCATGCAATTTTCCAGGAATTGAAACCTCTAATTCCAACTTTTCTTCTAAAGCTTTCATCATAGGATCAACAATATGTTTAGTAAAAGCTTTATTTTGTTCATAAGCATGGGGTGAATTTATCATGGATTGCAACAAAGAAATACAATCAATCAAAGAGCAACTATCATAATTAAAGTCTTTGTAATCCAAAAGAGTGGGCACATCACTAGTTAAAGTTTTGACCTCTTCAAACCCACTTTTATCAATTTTCTCAACAAGATTTTCACCCTCCGAATTATCCGGACACCTTCTAGCTAAATTTGACTTCTCTTTAGTCCCATTATTGTCAATATTAATTTTACTAAACAAAGAATCAATAGAAGAAACACCAATCATTTTAAGATCTTCATCACTTTTATGAAAGCAATCACTAGAAAACGCTTTTTCTAAAAATTCACTTCTAGCTCTAAGTATAGCGGTTCTTTTCTTAGTCTCATCGATAGAAACATAAAGAGCCTTAATTTATTCCTCAACCTTAGGCACAAAAATTTCCTTCTTGGGATTTTCTACATCATGAGAAATTCTGTCAATACTTCTAGACATATCATCAATCTTATTCAGCTTTTCTTCTATTGTAGCATTGAAAACCTTTTGAGTATTGATAAATTTAATATTATTCTCAAGATCATAGGTGTTCCTATTATTATTATTATAAGAAAGATTGCCATAGGAATTACCATAATTATTAGAGGAATTACTAGGAAAAGGTATATGACTAAAATTACCTCTATAAGCATTGTTATCGAAATTGTTTCGCAAGATAAAATTCACATCTATGGCATCACTATTTTTCTCAATCAAAGTAGACAAATGCACACCATTAAAATCAATAGGAGCACTTTTATTAGCAACCTATTTCATAAGAGCATCAATTTTTTCACTCAAAGAAGACATTTCTTCAACCGAATTGAACTTTTTTACTAGTAGGAGCTCTTTCGGTATGCCATTGTGAATAATTTGCCATAATGTTGTCAAGCAACTTGGTGGCTTCACCCAAAGTAATTTCCATAAAAGTACCACCCGCAGCGGAGTCCAAAAGTTTACGAGAAACAAAATTTAACCCTGCATAAATAATTTGTATGATCATCCAAAGATTTAACCCATGAGTTGGGCAATTACTTAGCATTAATTTCATCATTTCCCAAGATCGTGCAACTCGCTCATGTTAAAGTTTCTTGAAATTCATGATTTGGGTTCTAAGGGAAATAATTTTAGCGGGCGGAAAATATTTAGTAAATAAAAGCATCTTTGCACTTATCCCAAGAATTGATACTATTGCGAGGCAAAGAAGAAAACCAAAATTTTGCATGATCTCGCCAAGAAAACGGGAATAATTTCAACTTCACAAGATCATTGTCCACATCTTTTTTCTTTTGCATATCGCATAATTTCATGAATGTATTAAGATGGGACGCGACATCCTCATTAGGAGTACCGGAAAATTGATTTTTCATAACAAGATTCAGCAAAGCGGTATTAATATCACAAGACTTCGCACTAGTGGCGGGAGGAGCAATCAAAGTGCTAATGAAATCATTCTTGTTGGTATTTGAGAAATCACACAACTTGGTGTTCTCTTGAGTCATTGTGACTACGCAACAAGATTGCACTCAAAAACAAATCTGACGAGAAAACGGCGAACGAAAAAGAGGGCGAATAAAACGGCAAATTTTTGTGAAGCGGAGGAGAGGAAAACGAGAGGCAAATGGCAAATAATGTAAATTGCAAGAAGATAAGATTTGTGATTAGGAACCTGGTAGATGTTGATGATGTCTCCCCAGCAACGGTGCCAGAAATTCCTTTTGATGCGGCTTGAACTACGTCGGTATTTCCCCAAAGAGGAAGGGATGATGCAGCACAACTACGGTAGGTATTTCCCTCAGTGATGATACCAAGGTTATCGAACCAGTAGGAGAACCACGCAACACCACGTAGACAGCTCCTGTACACAAAGAATAAATACTTGCAACCTGACGTAAGAGAGGGGTTGTCAATCCCTCACGAGTAAAAAGATAGGTAAAATTATAGTAAATTGGATAAATAGATCTCGCGGGATCACGAGTTAAAATAAATAAATAAAATTGTGGCAAGGTATCTTTGTGTTTTTTGGATTAATAGATGTGAAAATAAAAGCATATAAAAATAGATCACAAAGGCAAATATAATAAACAAGAGACTCGGGGCCATAGATTTCACCAGTGGCTTCTCTCGAGAAAATAGCAACTGTTGGGCAATTGACAGAAATTCGAATAATCATGACGATATCCAGACAATGATCATTATATAGGCATCATGTCCACGATTAGTAGACCGACTCCTGCCTGCATCTACTACTATTACTCCACACATCGACTTCTATCCAGCATGCATCTAGTGTATTAAGTTCATGAAGAAATGGAGTAATGCAATAAGAACGATGACATGATGTAGACAAGATCTATTTATGTAGAAATAGACCCCATCTTGTTATCCTTAATAGCAATGATACATATGTGTCGGTTCCCCTTCTGTCACTGGGATCAAGCACCGTAAGATCGAACCCATCAAAAAGCACCTCTTCCCATGGCAAGAAGAATTGATCTAGTTGGCCTAACTAAACCAAAGATTAAAAGAAGAAATACGAGGCTATAAGTAATCATGCATATAAGAGATGAAAAGACTCAAATAACTTCCATGGATAAAAGCATAGATCTGATTATAAACTCAAAGTTCATTGGATGCCAACAAACACACA